ACAGACAACTACACACAGACACACAGACAACTACAGACAGACACACAGACAACTACAGACAGACACACAGACAACTACAGACAGACCACTACAGACACAGAAATACAGACAGACACACAGACAACTACAGACAGACAACTACAGACAGACACACAGACAACTACAGACAGACAACTACAGACAACTACACACAGACAACTACACACAAATACAGACAACTACACACAGACAACTACAGACAGACAACTACAGACAGACACACAGACAACTACAGACAGACACACACACAACTACAGACAGACAAATACAGACAACTACACACAGACAACTACAGACAGAGACACACTAGTGAGATCCAGAAGCAAGAACTGTAAGGAGACAAACAGACAGACAGAAACAAGAGAAGTCAGGACATATACGATGTAAGTATACGGACACGGACATGCACACACATACACACAAATGCAAAAACACACAAACACTGGTTAGATACAGAAGCAAGAAAAGTCAGGAAATACTGACAGACAGGCAAGTTATAGGACATTAGAATATTATTTTACAGACAGACAGATGGACAGACACACAAATATTACTGTAGACCAATTATGGCAAATTTGTTGAACTTGTTTCTTCAGAAAACAATTTTATTATTAGAAATTTAGCTATGTTTATTTACAAAGCAAACGAAATTAGACATGGAAATTTGTTTAATGTGTAACTCAAATGAATTTCTTGCATCCTTCGCTTCGCTTTGTTTTTTAGCTCACCTGGCCCGAAGGGCCAAGTGAGCTTATCCCATGGTGCAGCGTCCGGCGTCCGGCGTCCGGCGTCCGGCGTCTGTCAACTTTTTCCTTTAAAATGCTACTTGTCCTGAATGGCTCAGAGGATTTTGACCAAATTTGGTCAGAAGCATCATTGGCCAAAGGGTTCTCAGTTTTGTATAAACGGAGGGTATAACCCCCCTGGGGGCAGAGGGGCGGGGCCAAATAGGGGGAAAATAGGTAAATCTTTAAAAATCTTCTTCTTCTCAACCAATAGAAGGATTTTGACCAAATTTGTCCTAGAGCATCTTTGGACAAAGGAGACTCAAGTTTGTATAAACGGAGGGTGTGGCCCCTCTGGGGGCGGAGGGGCGGGGCCCAATAGGGGAAATAGAGGATTTTTTTTCTCCTGCTATACAAGTGAAGGGATTTTAACCAAATGCAGTCTGAAGCATGATTAGGGACAAAAGAATCAATTTTGTATAAACTGAGGTGTGTGGGCCTCCTTCTAAGGGCAGATGGGTGGGGCCCATTAGGGGAAATAGAGGAAAACATCAAATATCCTTCTCCTTTTGTACCGATGAAGGGATTTTGACCAAATTTGGTCTGGAGCATCATTGGCCAAAGGGTTCTCAGTTTTGTATGAACGGAGGGTATGGTCCCCCTGGGGGCAGAGGGACGGGGCCAAATAGGGGAAAATAGGTAAATCTTTAAAAATCTTCTCCTCAACCAATTGAAGGATTTTGACCAAATTTGTCCTAGAGCATCTTTGGACAAAGGAGACTCAAGTTTGTATAAACGGAGGGTGTGGGCCTTCTGGCGGCATAGGAGCGGGGCCCAATAGGGGAAATAGAGGATTTTTTTTCTCCTACTATACAAGTGAAGGGATTTAAACCAAATGCAGTCTGAAGCATGCTTAGGGAGAAAAGAATCAATTTTGTTTAAACTGAGGTGTGTGGATTCCCCTTCTTTGGGGCAGATTAGTGGGGCCCATTAGGGGAAATAGAGGAAAACATTAAAGATCCTTCTCCTTCTGTACCGTTGAAGGGATTTTAACCTAACCAAACTTGTTTTAGAGAATCTTTGGGCAAAGGGAATTGAATATTTATAAATGGAAGATGCAACTTTGTTACTTGTACTCCTTTGATAAACCTGAATGGTACTCAGCAGGTTTTAAATTGAAAAATAAAATACCAGGTGAGCTATTAAGGCCCCTGGGCCTCTTGTTTTATTAAAGTCTATTGCATCCTGTGTTCATGCTTACTATTGTGAATGAATATGTTCCTTGTGAAGGTGTGTTATTTTGCTGCTATAAAATTCATGTAAATGCCGTCAATATTTGAGAGCAAATATGTATTTATTATTGCCATTATGTCATTGTCATGTTTAAATGTGTGTAAAGCACAAAGGCATTGTTGCCTATTTCAAATTAAATAAAGTCATGTATTAAGTAAAGTCACAAACAGGCACACAGACACACAGATTCAGACATACATAGCACTGTCGAGATCCAGTTGCTGCTAAAACAGTTCAGGATACAAATGTATAACCCAATTTTCTTTGTATTTGACAATTCATCTTTTAAATTTGGCTATCCATTTCAATTATTTGTTTATTAAGTCAAGTGAAATGAATATATATCTTAGCGTAGTCAATGTGATTATCTGAACATCTGGTCCGTCACTGACATCTCCTTTTGTTACAAGAGTCTCTTTTCAACCTAGAAGTCATTTTTGTACCTTAATTAATATGTACAGGGGATAGGAGATAACATTTTCTCAACCTCTGGCGCCTAACCCTGTAAGTCAGCATTGACTTTCATGAAGATGGAAGTATACATTACCGAATGGTATTGAATTATATTGATCTATAGGCCCAAGATACATGATTGAGAAATATTGATCTATATATAGGCCCAAGATACATGATTGGGAAATATTAATCTATAGGCCTAAGATACATGATTGGGAAATATTGATCTATAGGCCCAAGATACATGATTGAGAAATATTGATCTATAGGCCCAAGATACATGATTGGAAAATATTGATCTATAGGCCCAAGATACATGATTGAGAAATATTGATCTATAGGCCCAAGATACATGATTGGGAAATATTGCATTATCTGTATTACAATTGGGAAGATACCTGGTACACCTCATTCTTTCATCATTTGAAAAAATAGAGCACTTTTTTGCTGTGAAAACAAGCTGTCTTCAGCTGTAAAACCCAATGTTGTACAATTTTATTAAGAAATAAAGTTAACATGTAGTGTTAAAAGTGTATGCTGTAAATAGGCACATGTCACTATATTATGTTAGGATAATACAAATATTCCACTGAATTGAGACACTAGTACATTTTATACTAGTGTGTGCTGTAAATAGGCACATGTCACTATATTATATTAGGATAATACAAATATTCCACTGAATTGAGACACTAGTACATTTTATACTAGTGTGTGCTGTAAATAGGCACATGTCACTATATTATATTAGGATAATACAAATATTCCACTGAATTGAGACACTAGTACATTTTATACTAGTGTGTGCTGTAAATAGGCACATGTCACTATATTATATTAGGATAATACAAATATTCCACTGAATTGAGACACTAGTACATTTTATACTAGTGTGTGCTGTAAATAGGCACATGTCACTATATTATATTAGGATAATACAAATATTCCACTGAATTGAGACACTAGTACATTTTATACTAGTGTGTGCTGTAAATAGGCACATGTCACTATATTATATTAGGATAATACAAATATTCCACTGAATTGAGACACTAGTACATTTTATACTAGTGTGTGCTGTAAATAGGCACATGTCACTATATTATATTAGGATAATACAAATATTCCACTGAATTGAGACACTAGTACATTTTATACTAGTGTGTGCTGTAAATAGGCACATGTCACTATATTATATTAGGATAATACAAATATTCCACTGAATTGAGACACTAGTACATTTTATACTAGTGTGTGCTGTAAATAGGCACATGTCACTATATTATATTAGGATAATACAAATATTCCACTGAATTGAGACACTAGTACATTTTATACTAGTGTGTGCTGTAAATAGGCACATGTCACTATATTATATTAGGATAATACAAATATTCCATTGAATTGAGACACTAGTACATTTTATACTAGTTTATGCTTAGATAATTGTGTATGTACAAGGAACGGTTTATAACCTGATCAATCTTCCCTAGATTTAAATCCTATAATTGGGACTTCTACAAAGAACATGTGTCAAGAGACGTCTCAATTGTTGTATTAACTACAGCCCCGGCCCTTCACCACCATCATCACCACCATCATCACCACCAACTCCACTTTGAGGGATTTGCTGACATTGACAGACATACATGAAAGACGTAATTTCCATGTATTTAACCCAATAATTGTTCTTAAGAGTTGTCTATCCTGTACTTGTTAACAGTCAATGGCCGATTGGTTCAGGGCGTCGAGTATGATGGGATCTAAGAAGAAAAGTGTCCTCAGTAGATTTGTCCTTGTCAAGGTCTCATTCACAGGGAAGCTCTTTGATGTTGAATTCATTGTGTCACGGGTTAATAACTAGTAAAATCACCTGCCATTCTGCATTGTTATAACAGGCAATGGAGATTTACTGGGGTTACTCTAACTTTTCAAGTACTCTATGATGTGTTGTTATAACAAGCAATGGAGATTTACTGGGGTTACTCTAACTTTTCAAGTACTCTATGATGTGTTGTTCAGCACAGCCTGGTCACTGGTTAGCTTCATCATCAAATAAAGTAAATTATCAAGTGAAGATAATTTTGCATGTTCAACCATTGAATTAGATTTGCTAAACTGTTCCTACATGTATTTTCCAGGATCTGATGATTATTCTGACAGAACAGCTCAACCATGCTGTTTAAAAGTGTTTATTTTTCCCTCGGTTGTACATTGATCCATTTTACATGCTTTTGATTATTAGCACGCTAAATCTCCCCGTTGGAAATTTCAATCAGCTGGCAAGTACATGTATGTAGTAACTTATCATATTAAGCTTGTCATGCATGCTTTTAACAGTGTGCCAGTTTTATATGACACGAGATGAACACGTAGGGCCTCCTACACCTATTGTGTACAGATATGATTTGTTTTAATTTGTTTGCAGAGATGATCTTTTACGAGCCATAAAGAAGTTGAAGGTGTTAGGTAACGGGTTTACTGTGATACCTGTGGGGCGGACCTATCTAGTCCAGAGTGTCCCTGGAGAACTAAGTATGGACCATACCATGCTTCTACAGCAGGCACAGGTGGGTACATTGTTAGGTAACGGGTTTACTGTGATACCTGTGGGGCGGACCTATCTAGTCCAGAGTGTCCCTGGAGAACTAAGTATGGACCATACCATGCTTCTACAGCAGGCACAGGTGGGTACATTGTTAGGTAACGGGTTTACTGTGATACCTGTGGGGCGGACCTATCTAGTCCAGAGTGTCCCTGGAGAACTAAGTATGGACCACACCATGCTTCTACAGCAGGCACAGGTGGGTACATTGTTAGGTAACGGGTTTACTGTGATACCTGTGGGGCGGACCTATCTAGTCCAGAGTGTCCCTGGAGAACTAAGTATGGACCACACCATGCTTCTACAGCAGGCACAGGTGGGTACATTGTTAGGTAACGGGTTTACTGTGATACCTGTGGGGCGGACCTATCTAGTCCAGAGTGTCCCTGGAGAACTAAGTATGGACCACACCATGCTTCTACAGCAGGCACAGGTGGGTACATTGTTAGGTAACGGGTTTACTGTGATACCTGTGGGGCGGACCTATCTAGTCCAGAGTGTCCCTGGAGAACTAAGTATGGACCACACCATGCTTCTACAGCAGGCACAGGTGGGTACATTGTTAGGTAACGGGTTTACTGTGGTGCCTGTGGGGCTGACCTATCTAGTCCAGAGTGTCCCTGGGGGACTAAGTATGGACCACACCATGATTCTACAGCAGGCACAGGTGGGTACATTGTTAGGGAACAGGTTTACTGTGATACCTGTGGGGCGGACCTATCTAGTCCATAGTGTCCCTGGAGAATTAAGTATGGACCACATCATGCTTCTACAGCAGTCTCAGGTGGGTACATTGTTAGGTAACGGGTTTACTGTGATACCTGTGGGGCGGACCTATCTAGTCCAGAGTGTCCCTGGAGAATTAAGTATGGACCACATCATGCTTCTACAGCAGACACAGGTGGGTACATTGTTAGGTAACGGGTTTACTGTGATACCTGTGGGAAGGACCTATCTAGTCCAGAGTGTCCCTGGGGACTAAGTATGGACCCCACCATGCTTCTACAGCAGGCACAGGTGGGTACATTGGTAGGTAACGGGTTTACTGTGATACATGTGGGGCAGACCTATCTAGTCCAGAGTGTCCCTGGAGAACTAAGTATGGACCATACCATGCTTCTACAGCAGGCACAGGGGGGGACATTGTTAGGTAACGGGTTTCCTGTGATACCTGTGGGAAGGACCTATCTAGTCCAGAGTGTCTCTGGGGACTAAGTATGGTCCACACCATGCTTCTACAGCACGCACAGGTGGGTACATTGTTAGGTAACGGGTTTACTGTGATACCTGTGGGGCGGACCTATCTTGTCCAGAGTGTCCCTGGAGAATTAAGTATGGACCACACCATGCTTCTACAGCAGGCACAGGTGGGGACATTGTTAGGTAACGGGTTTACTGTGATACCTGTGGGGCTGACCTATCTAGTCCAGAGTGTCTCTGGGGACTAAGTATGGTCCACACCATGCTTCTACAGCAGGCACAGGTGGGTACATTGTTAGGTAGCAGGTTTACTGTGATACCTGTGGGGCGGACCTATCTAGTTCAGAGTGTCCCTGGGGACTAAGTATGGACCACACCATGCTTCTACAGCAGACACAGGTGAGTACATTGGCATGACACAGACACAGGTGGGTACATTGGCATGACACATGTTGGGTACATTGGCATGACACAGGTGGGTACATTGGCATGACACAGGTCGTTACATTGGCATGACACAGGTCAGTACATTGGCATGACTCAGGTCAGTACATTGGCATGACTCAGGTCAGTACATTGGCATGACACAGGTCGTTACATTGGCATGACACAGGTCAGAACATTGGCATGACACAGGTCAGTACATTGGCATGACACAGGTGGGTACATTGACATAACACTGGTTAGAACATTGGCATGACACAGGTGGGTACATTGGCACGACACAGGTGGGTACATTGGCATGACACAGGTGGGACACATTGGCATGACATAGGTCAGAACATTGGCATGACACAGGTGGGTACATTGGCATGACACAGGTCAGAACATTGGCATGACACAGGTCAGTACATTGGCATGACACAGGTGGGACACATTGGCATTCCACGGGTCAGAACATTGGCATGACACAGGTCAGCACATTGGCATGACACTGGTCAGAACATTAGCATGACACAGGTGGGTACATTGGCATGACACAGGTGGGTACATTGGCATGACACGGGTCAGTACATTGGCATGACACAGGTGGGACACATTGGCATTCCACGGGTCAGAACATTGGCATGACACAGGTCAGCACATTGGCATGACACTGGTCAGTACATTGGCATGACACAGGTGGGTACATTAGCATGACACAGGTCAGTACATTGGCATGACACAGGGCAGTACCTTGGCATGACACAGAGAAAAGGCCTAAATTTCTCAGCCTCTGAGGAAAGTTTTTTTACAAACCTTCTGGGATTTAAAAAAAAGCCATTTTTATGCATATATACTATAAATGGTATTTTAGTGCCATAAATAGACATCACTCCTTACCCCAATGATCATAAAACATCATGAATGTGTTCACAGACATCATCTCTTGTATGAGTTTGTGTTTCCACCTTCTGGGTTCAAAAGCAAGAAGATTGTGATGAAACTTTATTCACAAACGCCTCCTCTTGCTAAAATTCATGTTTTCTACCTTCTTGGATCAAAATCAAGGTACCAATTATTTTAAATAAGATCTTGGTTTCATGGCTGTACGGACTTCATTTTGTATTCAGTGTCTGAAGATTTCACATATATCTTCTTTATCATGTGTTCACAATCATCCACTCTTGTATAAGTTTGTGTTTTGACCTTTTGAGGACAGAAACAAGGCAGCCATTACTATAACTATAATATTTGCGGTACCCCAGTCTTTAATGACTTCATTTCTTATCTGACTCTCCTGAAACTTGAAATAGTTCATGTTCATATAAACATTTCCTCTTGCGCAGGTTGTTACTTCAATCTTTCTGTCATCATTGTTCCTATAGCTTAATATTTGACTTCATCTACTCTCAGACGCTCTAAACAAAAAAGCATTTCTATTCACTTCCAGTCACAAGGTTATTTTGAATATCATCTTTTATAAATGTATACATTTACCTTGTTATATGGAATCTTGAGTCAATGAATTTAAATGTTAATAAATTTGGTAAATAGGCCAAACTTTCGCCCTTCATCTGTAATTTTCCATGCCAAACTTCTGCCCTTCGCCGTGAAATTTTTCCGGCTAAACTTCCGCCCTATGCCGTGAAATTTTTCCCACCAAACTTTCGCCCCTTTGCCTGATATTTTCCCCGCCAAACTACAGCCCTTCGCCTGTAATTTTCCCCGTCAGACTACCGCCCTTCGCCTGTAATTTTCCCCGCCAAACTTCACCCTTCACCTGTAAAATCTGAATACAACCATTGTTAATTTCACCATTCATGTTTATAAATAACTATGTAAAATATATTTTTGACTTATATTCGCCAGAGAGCGAAAAAGGCAAATATTAAACTGCACCAAAAACTTACGGATATACAGTAATAGGTTTAATGTTGAAATTCGTTTCTAATTAAGGTTTGTCTGGCTATTAATCTTCTGTGTATAACAAACCAAATAAAGTAATAACCTCAATATGTATATACTTAGTAAACAAGAGAGTACCTATTCCATTTTATTTGCCAGGAGCAATATGGCTTCCGATAGAATCATGTGATAATTAGAGAAGTGCTAATCTCATTGTCCTCATTCACTCTATGTTTACAGCCAATCTTTACTAGTTACCCCAATCAAACAAGTACTTGCCAATTAAGTGCACCAAGATTTCATCCCTCAAGCCATATACATTAACACGTCCTATTAGCTTGGAAAGCCAAGATGGCTGCAGCCCTCCAAAGTAGGTTTTCCAGTTCCAGGTCATCAAGTATAAAATAAAATGTCAATCACCAATCATTAATTCTATATCGGGCTGATTTTACAAGTACACACAAAGTGAGGTCAGTCACAAACAATTGTTATACCATCTTCACTTTTATTGCAACATAGGTTTTATAAAAAGAGGAAATAGTTTCTTGGAACAAAGTTCATCAATGCAGTGTTGACATGATGTCATAAGGATTGAACAACATTTTTTTTCATCAATTTAATGGTAGTATCAACATTGAAAAAAACCCTTCAATCCTTATATTTACATTGTAAAGTGTTAAAAATGATTGACATTAATATGGATATTATCTGATATTTTCTATATTTAAGTGTCTGTGTCGTCAGTGCAAACATGATTCCTAAAACAGCATAATGTTACAAAAATGTTTGCTTCTAAATTTGTCTCATATGGTTTGAGGTGGGAGGAGAAGCTTCAAAATGACGATGATCAAACTGCATTCATAGCTCTATAAACACAATATCTTCTGGGAAAGCTTATAGGGGAACTTGCTGTTGAAATGTAAATATACACAATTGTTATGACTGGGGAATGTGTGCCTAAATTCTGGAGAATCACAGAAATGTACATTGATCACATAATCACTGGAGCCGTACACATAGTTAAACCTACACCACTATGCTATCAATGATCGTAACAGTGATAGAAATAGGTTGACGTGTTGTGAAGGCCAATTTATCGTTTTTATATGCCCATGAAGCTGACCTAACTGTTTGGACCTGTCATGAAAGTCAATAGGTTTTGTTTGATCAATGATTGTAATTGAATTTTTATCCTCATGATAGTTTTATTTTGACAAGCCATAAAAGGCGAAGAATTGATTTGCTCTGCCATTAGGGTCTGGATTTTTTTTACCAATCATAAAGGTATTTCAGTTGATTTTACCAGCGATTAATGTGAAGGAATTAATTTCATTAACCATAAAGGTCAATTAGTTCTATTGTTTGACCAATGATTATAAGTTCATTGACTTTCATGACCAGCCATCAAGGTCAGTGTATTGTGATGAAGGTCATTGCAATGTTTTCATTAGCCATGAATGTAAGGTTGTAGTGTTGTTTTGACCAGTGAATATTGTCAGTGAATGAACTTGATCAGTCGTAAAACTAACAGTTTTGTTTTTACCTGAATGAAGGTCACTGAATTGTTATAACTTCCTCTTATGAAGGTTAAATTGGTTTTTTTCATGAAGGTCACATTTTCGGTTTTGCCATATCTCATGGCATTCATAAAGATTGTTTAATTGTTTTGACCTCCTATGTACGTAAATAGATTGTTTAATTGTTTTGACCTCCTATGTCCGTAAATAGATTGTTTAATTGTTTTGACCTCCTATGTACGTAAATAGGTTGTTTAATTGTTTTGACCTCCTATGTACGTAAATAGATTGTTCAATTGTTTTGACCTCCTATACGTAAATAGATTGTTTAATTGTTTTGACCTCCTATGTACGTAAATAGATTGTTTAATTGCCAAGAAGAACAATAAAGTGTATAAGCCAGTGATGAAAGCTTGTGAATTGCTTTCACCTACTGTAATGTGAATGTCAATTACTCTGACAATTGATGAAGGTTGTTGAATTGTTTTATTACATTCCCTTTGTCAGTTTTGCCATATCCCATGACTTTCGTGAAGGCCATTGAATTGTTTTACCGGCTAGGAACTTGAAGTTCTGTTGTAGTAATTAAGTTCTGTAAGTAAATCGTCAGTCCTAGTAATAAATATTTCATTGTTTAACAGCTCGTCAGTCCTAGTAATAAATATTTCATTGTTTAACAGGACGCAGGCTTTGTGACAAAATCGGACTTGCTGTCAGGACTAAAATGGGAAGAAGACAGAGCTGGACGAGCTTTGGTTAGTTAATATTTAAACATTTATGTAAATATATGCGTTGATTTAAGCAATAATAATAAAAAAAAAAAAAATCAGCAAGTAAAATACCCTGTATTTCCATGCTGTAGGAGGAACTATTTTGATTAGAAAAGTTAAAACTTGCAAGGCTCTTTGTTTTTCATTACAATCTCAGCATCATTTGAGTTTTTCGAGATTTGATTTTCATATTTTTGATGTTGTATTGCCAGGATTTCATGGTGAAGGAAGGCTTGGCTTGGCTGGATGACCAGGCTACACCAGAGAGACAGTACTGGTTCCCGAGTTTCTTCCCGTACACTGCTGTCACGTCCTGAGGAAAGTGTACGTGAACTTAACACTTAATCGGCACAAATGGATGAAATGATCAGCATCTGATAAAGCGTATTACTGAAATAGGAAATCCGAACAGTACAGCCCAGCATCTGGTGTAGAGTATTACTGAAGTAGGGGAGCAATCCTTGTGAACACCATCCATTAGAGTTCCTTTTGAGTTTACAACTACAGCTTTACTTGAGTATATTAGAAGCTTAGGAACATACAAAACTGAGTATCAAACTGTAGCTGTGTCAGAACAAACAGGTCACTCTCTAAGAGTGCAACTCTCTTTTGTCTAGCTTCAATATTTTGCTTATTTGCTTATAAATAAATGTTTTTTATATTATTTATATAAAGTTCTAATATAATGGCATAGAGAAGAAATGTTAAAAAATCAGTTCATAAATATTGTAACAAACCACTAGAATATTGTGCTTTATATAGACTGAATTGTTCAGTCTAAAGGCATATGTTATTGTTGGTAAATATAAATTAAACAATAAAACTTGATACAACCGCCATTGTTTCATTTGTCACCTTCCAAACTTCTATTGTATTTCAAAGTTATTGTTTCCTGTTTTCTTAAGAAGTTCTTTTATTGTCTCTCCCTCTGTATACTATTGCCAACCACTTTACCAAATTTGACCAAATAATCTTCAAGCCCAGCATATGCACTCCTGTCCTTTTTTCTTGTCAAAGAGTCCTTTTTCCTCAAAATTGCTAAGGGTACTTATTAGGTTTGAAAGGGTAAAGCCCCAATATTTCCCATGAGAAATGTTGACAATAATCGCAAATGAAAAAAGAAAAGATACTGAAGATGCAATTTAAGTCAAATTTCTTTTCTCATATCAGATTGGTAACTTGTTAATCTTCCTGTGTACTATCATTGTCTCGCTACTAACTGACACAAGACAATAAGGCAGAGTGTGGAAAACAGACACACAAGACACTAAGACAGTGTGTGAAAACAGACACAAGACACCAAGACAGGGAGTAAAAACAGACACATGACACCAAAGAAAGGTGTGAAAACAGACACAAGACACCAAAACAGGGTGTGGAAACTGACATAAGACACATAGGCAGGGTGTGGAAACAGACACCAATCACCAAAAAAAGGTGTGAAAACAGACACAAGACATCTAGGCAGGGTGTGAAAAAAGACACAAGACATCTAGCCAGGGTGTGAAAATAGACAAAAGACATCTAGGCAGGGTGTGAAAATAGACACAAAACACCAAAGTATGGCGTAAAACAGACACAAGACACCAAATCAGGGTGTGACAACAGACACACAACACCAAAGAAAGGTGTGAAAACAGATACAAGACACGAAGGCAGGGTGTGAAAACTGACCCTGATTTGGCGTCTTGTGTCTGTTTCACGCCCAACTTCTTCTAAAAAACCAAGAGGCCTAGGATGATGATATTTGGCCAGTAACATGCTGAAATGAAGGGCTATCAAGTTTGTTCATATCAATGACATTGACAAACATTCAAGGTCACAGGGGTCAAATATGTTTAAAACCTTTAAATAACTTCTTCTGAATAACCGAGAGGCCTAGGGTGATGATATTTGGCCAGTACATGCTGGGATGAAGGGCTACCTAGTTTGTTCAAATGAATGACCTTGACTTAAATTCAAGGTCACAGAAGGGCAAATATGTTTAAAACCTTTAAACAACTTCTTCTGAATAACCAAGAGGTCCAGGGTGATGATATTTGGCTAATTGCATGCTGGGATGAAGGGCTACAAAGTTTGTTTAAATGAATGATCTTTATCTTTTTTTCAAGGTCACAGGGGTCAAATATGTATTAAACCTTTAAACAACTTCTTCTGAATAACCAAGAGGCCTAGGATAATGCCAGTAACATGCTGGGATGAAGGACTACCAAGTTTGTTCAAATGAATGACCTTGACATATATATTCAAGGTCACAGGTGTCAAATATGTTTAAAAAAACATTGAATGACTTCTACTTAATAAGTAAAAGGCCAAGGGTGATGATATTTGGCCATTAACATGCTGGGATGAAGGAATACCAAGCGAATGACCTTCACCCAAATTCAAGGTCACAGTGGTCAATATATGTTTAAATCTTTAAATGATTTGTTCTGTATATTTTGCCAGAAGCATGCTGGGTTGGAAGACTATAAACTCTGTTCAACCTAATGTCCTTGTTCGACATTCAAGGTCACAGGCGTCATATGTTTAAATCTTTTAATAGGTTCTTATGAATCAAACACTGATATTCTGCCTGTAGCTGTATTTTAGTCTACTTTTAAGATAACAAATGTGAGATTAATACCAGGTGAGCGATGCAGGCCCATTGGGCCTCTTGTTTTGTTAAACGCAAAGAGCCATCACCATGATTAAAAGAATGTGTGTAATGATGCATGTTATATTCTACCTGAGGGTGCTGTTTCATGGTAGTGACAAGGCTCACTAACTCTTTACTTCAAATGACTGAAAATATGAAAAGGAGTGTCTAATATATGTATCTCCCATATGGTTTTATATAATAGATAATTATTTCTCTCAATCATTTTGAGGTTTACTATTAAATGTGATCTTGCTGACCTCACCAATCGAAGGTAGAAAGTTCAACATGTGTTTGGCATTACAGAATGTGTTTTAGTGTCTGCAACACAAACTAGGATGCATAGTTGATGCTGATAGTGAAGTCAAACGCCACAACATGTACATGTCAAAGAGAAAGTCAGGGGGTAAACATGTACATGTCAAAGAGAAAGTCAGGGGTTAGAATAGGAGAGTTGGGACCCATCACTCAGAAATAAAGACAAACATCACGTTAAGCCAATCGCTGCTTTTATTACAAAAGGGACTATTTGACATTTTGAAACATGTTTTAGGTGTTGTGCATAAGTTATAAATAGTGCAACTTAAATTGATTACTATGAAGTTGATATTCGTAAAAGTACTTAATAGACACCTACTATATCGCGGTTATTAACCTCTCTGTAATATAATACATTATTTTGGAAAAACTGTAAAGTGTGTGATACAGTATCTGGTAGGATATTCATCAAATCAATGTCACATTTATATAACAAGAGGACACCTCGATCACGACGTCATGCTGATTAGTCAAGGTAGAAAACTCCACTGAAATATCTGTTTTGGAGCATTACCGAAGTCTCTGGGAATTAATCAAGGATCTGTCACGGTGTTATAGACAATTTGGCACATGCTAGTGGGTGTGGGTGTGTGTGTGTGTGTGTGTGGGGGGGGGGGGGGGGGGGGGATAACTGATGACATGGCAAGCAAAGCAAGCGCCCACTCAATTCCTTTTTTTAATGTTACTATAAATCAATCAATCCATTCAATCTAAAAATCAATATATATATTTTATGTTATTAATAATTTATTTTCTTGTCAAACACATAATATTCGATAAAAATGTCAAACAATGGTACACCATTATATAAACATTTGCCAGCCATGGCTCAGTAGCCACAAGTTACATACCTGGAGTAGTGGTGCCTTACTTACAGCTCTGAGGATTAATGCACGCTATGTGCTGCTGCAATGGTCCATGTTTAAGAATAATAAATAGCACACAACTACTTTTGTTGGAACCTAAACATTTTGGCAAACTAACGTTTAAAATATTCATCATAACACTCCTAATAAGTTATTGAATTTGGAATAGTAAATTATAGCTCACCTAGCCCCAAGTGTAAATGTATAAAGTTCACGGATCCCTTCACCACCAGAAAATGCATGAATCCCTTTACTACACACACACAAAAACAGAAAAAAATACACGTTCCTTAAAGACCTTAGCTGTTCACAGCTATACACAAACCCAACCATAGATCTATGAAACTTGAAGCAAAGAAAGTAAAATCTGACGAAATTTAGAATGTAAGATACATAATAATGCGTATTTCTGAAACCTCAATACCAGACTCCATCTAGACTCCATTTATACTCCATCTAGACTCCATGTAGACTCCATGTGGACACCATGTATACTCCATCTAGACACAATCTAGACTCCATTTAGACTCCATGTAGACTCCATCTAGACTCCATTAAGACTCCATGTAGTCCATGTAGACTCCATGTAGTCCATGTAGACTCCATGTAGACACCATGTAGACTCCATGTAGACTCCCTTTAGACACCATGTAGACTCCATGTAGACACCATGTAGACTCCATTTAGACACCATGTAGACTCCATGTAGACTCCATGTAGACTCCATTTAGACACCATGTAGACACCATGTAGACTCCATGTAGACTCCGTGTAGACTCCATGTAGACACCATGTAGACACATGTAGACACCATGTAGACACCATGTAGACACCATGTAGACTCCATGTAGACTCCATATAAATACCATGTAGACTCCATGTAGACTCCATGTAGACTCAATGTAGACTTCATGTAGACACCATGTAGACTCTATGTAGACACCATGTAGACTCCATGTAGACTTCATGTAGACTCCGTGTAGACTCCATGTAGACACCATGTAGAATCCATGTAGACACCATGTAGACTCCATGTAGACACCATGTAGACGCCATGTAGACTCCATGTAGACACCATGTAGACCCCATGTAGACACCATGTAGACTCCATGTAGACACCATGTAGACCCATGTAGACACCATGTAGACACCATGTAGACTCCGTGTAGACTCCATGTAGACACCTTGAAGCCTCAATGTAGACTCCATATAAATACCATGTAGACTGCATGTAGACACCATGAAGACTCCATGTAGACACCATGTAGACTCCATGTAGACACCATGAAGACTCCATGTAGACACCATGTAGACTCCATTTAGACACCATGTAGACTCCATGTAGACTCCATGTAGACTCCATATAAATACCATGTAGACTCCATGTAGACACCATGAAGACTCCATGTAGACACCATGTAGACTCAATGTAGACACCATGTAGACTCCGTGTAGACTCCATGTAGACTCCATGTAGACACCATGTAGACACCATGTAGACACCATGTAGACTCCATCTAGACTCCATGTAGACTCCATATAGACTCCATGTAGACTCCGTGTAGACTCCATGTAGAACCATGTAGACACGATGTAGACTCCATGTAGACTCCATGTAGTCCATGTAGACACCATGTAGACATCATATAGACACCATGTAGACACCATGTAGACTCCATGTAGACTCCATGTAGACACCATGTAGACTCCATGTAGACTCCGTGTAGAATCCATGTTCACTCCATGTAGACTCCATGTAGACACAATGTAGACTCCATGTAGACTCCGTGTAGAATCCATGTTTACTCCATGTAGACTCCGTGTAGACTCCATGTAGACTCCATGTAGATTCCATGTAGACACCATGTAGACTCCATGTAGACTCCATGTAGACTCCATGTAAATACCATCTTGACTCCATCTAGACTGCATGTAGACACCATGTAGACACCGTGTAGACCCTATGTAGACACCATGTAGACTCCATTTAGACACCATGTAGACTCCATGT